TTTATATATATATATAATAAATATTATATTACGAAAATAATTCATAAATGCATCAGTATTTTTCAATTCAAATTAAGCAACATAATATTATACTAAGGGTCCTAAGTTAGAACGCCTCTGTGTATGGTGGCAAGCCAACGAAATAACGGCGAGTTCGGGCAGACATTGTGTTGTTGAAAAAAACCAAATGACGACTTTGTCGACAAACATACATACATACATATGAGCTCGCATACATATTGACGCCGAATTTTGCGCATCGTGGCGGAGTTGACAAAATTTGTTTCAATCAACAATTTTACGACAATGTCGATCGGCTATGTTGTCTCGTTTGTCCTTTTTGCAGGGCTTTGCTCTTGAAAATTGACTTATGCTCTTTTGAAATATTGCGATTACCGATTGGGCTGCATTTTCATAGCGTCGTATTTGGATAAAATGGGCTAAATCGACAAACTATGAAATAATGATAATAAGTAAACATATAAAAGTACTATATGGACTGTGCTTAGAATATATAGAAGTAGTTAATGATTTCATATGAATGGCAATTTTATATAATTTTGTAATTTAATGCCATAAATAGTGCATAATATAAAAAAAAAAATTAAAATAATAATTCAAATCCCTAAGAGGTCATGTTGCCAATTCTCCTTTCTGAAGTGAACATCAGACAAATTCTTCAATTTCTGATTTTTAGCAAATGTTGTGAGGAAGCAGCTTGTGGGCAACATACAAACGCGAGGGGGATGGTAGGATTTTCAATGATACAAATTGTAAAATTTAAATTTTGCTGATTCTTCAATTATACTGAAGACATTTAAATTCAATTTCCTTCATTTTAATTTTCGCGCATTTGCGGTAGGAATTCTATATGAAAACCAAATGTGGTTTACCAGGCGCACAGAAAAAATAGCGCGGCGCAGAGTTATTAACGAGCGCACTTTGCTTTGAAGCAGACGCACGTTCCTTATGAATGAATTTGTTGTCGTTGTAATTTGAAATACTTAGAAAATAAGCCGTGAGTTTGCTTGAATATTATTGGCCGATTCCACGTTTTTTTGTCACTTGCGCGAATGTTTGATTTTTTGCGAAAGACATATTGAGGGACATACATATGTACATATGTGTACATATATGCAAATATATTTGGACCTGCGAATGAAAGAAGGCAATTTCAAGAATATTCACATATGGACATATGAATATTTGAAGCAAGTAAACAATAATAGCTGTTTGAGTTCTCTGATTTTACGTTCTCTGCTCTGTCTTAAGTGTTTCAGAGCGTTCAAGCATTTTAAGCATTGTATAAGCCTACAAGTAGCCAAAGAATCAGCTGTTTTCCTATGTGTGTGAAACAGCCGTGATCATCTGATCGAATATGCCTTTTTTTGACATAGAGTTTTAAATAAAAGGTTGTAGTGTAACAATTTGCATGTAAAATGGAAATATCTGGAAAACTATACGTTTGTGGCGCCAATAGTTATATATATTCGTGATCTGGAGAATCTCTCTATCCAACCATACCCCTCTTAACCCTGAAATCGTGGGATGCTAAACTAAAGTTTTCCCATTGCTTTTCCTCACCACCTCTGAGGTTGTAATATAGGCGCGTTACAGACCTTTTTTGGGTGTTTGTTTCCCCAGGACTACACCGGTAAACTAAGAATTTAAATATTCAACAGACAAAGAATTTTCACTCACAAAAACATAAACATGTAAGTTAAAAAAGATAAAATTGGAAACATTTAATAATATTTCAATACAATAAATAATAATTTAAATAATACTATGTAAATTTAATCTTTAGGAATTAAAACAACCGAAAAATATTTTAATATGGAATAAAAACATTCTTTAAGGTATTAATTTTAAAACATAACACGGCAACACACTAGAGCAGATTTCTGTCATTTGATCGTTTTAGTAGTAGAATATTGGTTGGCAACCCGTACAAAGTGTGATTTTAGTAGCAGAATATTGGTTGGCAACTCGTACCAAGTGTGATTTTAATAGTAGAATTTTCGAGGCAACCCGTACCAAGTGGGATATTTTTGCGTGTGTTTAGTGAAAATCTTAGGATTGGCTACTTGTAGATTTATACAATGATTTTAAGAAAGGTCAAATTTTTGATCGTACTGTTTATTACCACTCGTTGTTTACGCTTTAGCGAGTAGCTGTTGAAATTTTAAAAATGTTCAATTAGTGAGAATTTGAGTTCGACTTTTGTTAGTTAGCAATTTTACAATATTTCAGTTAAATCAAATTAACATAGCATTAAACTACTGAATGCATTGCGAATAATTAGCCAGTATGTTAAATGAAGAATTGTTCACAGAGCCATGCTTGGAACGACATTTTTCAGGACATTGCTCTAGCATAACTCAGGTCCGGTTTAGTCCTTGTGGCCAACGTTTGGCCACTAGCTCCTTAGACCTCTCTGTAATTTTATGGGATTTAAAACAAGCTGCTCGCTGCATACGCTTTAGCGCACATTCCGGTGCTGTATACAATGTTTGTTGGTCTCCTAAATCTAATTTAGTAGCATCGGCAAGCAAAGATCGTACAGTGAAAATTTGGGAACCAAAGATACGTGGAGTTTCTGGGGAATTTTTAGCACATAGCAAAGCTGTTCGAAGTGTAGATTTTGATCCTAGTGGAACTATGGTAGGAACTTAAATATAAATTTATTTCTGTGATTTTTCAAATATATTTCTGTAGCTTATCACGGCTTCAGATGACAAAACTTTGAAGTTATGGAAAGTCGCACAACGGAAATTCTTAACTTCATTCACCGGACACAACAATTGGGTGCGTGCAGCTAAGTTCAGTCCTAATGGCCAATTAATAGCATCTTGTGGTGATGATAAATCACTAAGAATTTTCGACGTCACGTCAGGGGAATGTGTGCGTACTTTCACCGAAGAACGTGGCATGGGTCGACAAGTAGCCTGGCATCCAGACGGGAATTTAGTAGCTGTTGCGTTAAGCTGTAATCGTGTAAAAATATTTGACATTGCCGAAGGTGAATTAATTCAATTATATCAAGTACATTCGGCGCCAGTTAATGATTTAGCTTTCCATCCAAATGGAAACTTTTTACTAACTGGAGGTGATGACGACACTATACGACTATTAGATTTACTAGAAGGCCGACCCATTTATACACTGACAGGTCACACTGATAAAGTTTGTGCTGTCGCATTCTCACCGGACGGACAGCATTTCGCTTCGGCAGGAGAAGATCGCCAGGTTCGAACTTAAGAAATGAATACGCATTTTTTTTAATTCATATATTTATTTTTATAGTTACTCGTTTGGAAATCAAATTTACATACATTTGATACGAATAGCTTCCGAAGCAAGCAAGCTTCTTTCCAAAAAGAAAACAACGTTAGTTGTCATGCTGCCACACCGCATAACTCGGCTGTAGATACAGAATCAAAAGTTTGTGATGACAGCATTTTAATTGACCCACGTCATTCAGTGGCATATAAGATGCGTGATGAAAATTTTCAGGTTCTTGATAGTCAATACACCACAGCAAAACAACAATCAGTAAGCAGCTTTACTACATCACTCCGAAAACAACACGAAACCTTAGACAAGTTAGAAACAGACGCAAATGCTGATAGCATCAGTTACAACAGCAACAGCAGCACCTCACTACTACACATGCCAAATAATCCAACCAATAGTTGCAATAACGACGTCAACGAAGAGCACGGCGCACCTAGCAAATATTTTTAATTTGGACTTATTTATCCGTATTTTCTTAAGTTTGAATTTCGGCTGCTACTAGTTTTGATCTATGACAAATACACACTTTCATACATACCACGAAGTAATTGATTCTTCATATTTTTTCAATAACTACTTTTTATTATTATTTATTTAATTTTTCACACCGGATTTGCTCCGCATAATATCCTTGGCACGTACAATATTTAACCCTTTTAATTTGTCAATAAAATATTTTTATAATAATTGTGTTGTGTTTGTAATCATAGGTATTTAACATAGCGATATTCCAATGTGCTTCGACGCAAACTTCAAACGAAGACTATTTGCAGCGAGAATTGAACGCACTTCAGACGCAGTTAGGGGAAATTGTGGTAACATTGCGAGAGCTGGAACAACGTATTATATGCATAGAAAATAAATAATGCACCGTACACAATTATGCATGCATTTTCAGAAAGCCTGACATTCACATTTTGTCATATATTACAGATAATAAGCAATTATATTAATGTATTTCATTATTTGGCATATGGGTTCAAGTTGATATCTAATTGAATAAATTGTACTTTTAAGTTTTAATTATTTAATTGAAAATATTTTCTTAAACGAACTACAATATTTAAATGCATGCATTAGATTATATCTATTCGATTCAAAATTTTTTACTTGCGTTATTTTGTTTAAAATTTACAATTAATATTGAATAAAACTTTTTTTATAGAAGTAGGTTTTTGTAAATATCAGTGTTCGAATATTATTCAATAATTCAACACGACAGTTGATGTTTTTTTTTGTTGTTTCGGTAAATATATTTAAAATTTGTGTATTTACTCTAGTATAGTTAGTAATTAATTAAACACGAGCTTTGACAGCAAGAAAAGAGATTTAAATTCTTCGTAGTTTATAATAATGTGTTTAATTTTAAAGTGTGTGTACAGCTATTTCTTTTATTTTTAATTTTATATTTCATAATATTTATCTACACTTCCTGAAATTTAATTTCTATGTTCGTTTCAAACGATTTAAAAAGATTACAATGTAATTGCCAATGTAGATTTCAGCTTGCTCTCGACTTATCAATACTTTGTTGTATATCCGCCTTTAAACTTCCATTTTCAATTTGGCAATCTTACGGAACTTACAAAAAAGTTCATTTCATTCCTTTACCCCAACATATTGAGTCGCTTTGCCAGTCTTCTTAATCGTCTCCAGCAATTCATCGGCTGTCAAATTCGATGTCACCAACACCGTTTTGGAATCGAGATCAATAGTGATCTTCTCAACTTTTTCCGCTGTGCAAAGAAAAAATATTTTATACATTAGCAATATTATATAAGGAGATTGATGCTACAAATAACTTAAATTATATCTGCTCATTTACTTTTGTAATTTTTTTATAATTCCTGGACAAAGCATCAGATAAGAAAAACTGTTGTCAGGGCCGACAATTTTGAGCATATGGGTTACATACAGATATACATTATACACACGAATATATTTTACTTATTTTTATGCTTATAATTTTGCGATTTATGTGATCAATTTGTAATCCCAATTAATTAATTAGTGCTGACACTAATACTTTGTGAACTTATTTACACATAATCGAAGTCTGCCTGCTTCGACGTAGGACAATAGTCGTAGATATATATCATACATATGTACATACCTGCATTATTTTGCTTTGCTACTAATTAGAATAGGTTCATCCTTGGAATAGGCACTTGTTATGCTTATTTTCACCCCCGGAAAACACTTACCTCCCAGCTTGTTTAAGACCCGCTCGACACTGTTTGCACATCCTGAACAGGTCATTTCCACTTTAAATTCGTGTACCTTAAAGAAAATTACTAACGTTTTTAGTGTACATTTATTACAAAACTCCGATTTACTGGCATGTTGTTAGTCCGTGCACTGTGTGACGAAGACGATGTCGTTTGCAGATATAATTGCGGGAAATTCAACAGATTGGCTATTTTTCAACTGCTTTGCAGGCACTATACTATTTTTTTAATTGATTATTTTCCAAAATAAATTTTGCAAATAACTAGCTGTGAGCTCAAAGCTTTTCTAATGGAACAGTTCAATCAACAATAGCAAATGAACACACTAAATAGAGTGCACAGACCACAAAGACGACGAAAGCTGCAACGATGGCAAATATGAAAGATAATTTTGTTTGAGCTTAGTAACAATTTCTTGGTGACAGTCGACTATTTTAAATTGGCACTAGAGATGTGGAGCAAGGTATTGACATAAATCCACTTCTTAAATTTATCGATAAGATTGTTAGTTTATCCGTAAATTGTACAATAGTGAAAGAGCTAGTTATGGATATTAAAATAACGAAAACCGTGGTAAATATTTTGGACCATTTTTATATTCCAAGAATATGCTATTCAATTTATTATTTTAACAATTACATTATAATAACGGATCATAATTACATAAAGTACAATAGTAATCAGATTATCGATATTATTTTTTAGATTGATGAGAAATACCATCTCCAAAATGCTTAAGATTGCCTCTTCTGCTTAAAAAGATATATGGCATTTATTTGTAATTATGAATAGTCATTACTAAAAAATATAAAATTTTGAATTTGAATACAATACTTTTATAAAGTGCAATATAACGTTAAAGCTCGAGTATAAATAACATATTTTTGTTCAATTAAATAAGAGGTAGCATTTAATTCAATTCCGGGTATTTGAAATATAATATATAACAGAGAACGTATATTTTATTAATAAGAGTACTATTTTTTACAGTTAATTAATAACTATTTCAACTACTTTCTTTGTTTAGTAATTCAGAAAAACTAGTATTTAATTAAAAATCCTGTCTATCGGTTACATTCATATGAGTTAATATATCTCATATATGCACAATTTATTTATTAATTATTTTTCACCTGTAACTGTCTATGCTATGTGGTAATAAAAATAGATTAATACCAAGTAGAAGTATGTATATAATAATTTATTAATATTAACTTTGAAATGATTTTATCCTTTCAGTCTAAAAATTACAAACACATAACAGTTTCCATTATCTAGTATCTCCCAAAACCTTTTAAGAAATTACAATTCAGTATTTATTTATATTGAAGAGGCGAACACCATGGAATTGTGGTAGTTTGGGCAGGGTGACCAGCACAAGTGAAATAAAATTTGCAATAAAATGATCAGGATCATTTCTTGTATAGATGCAGGTTAACAAAAATCTAAGGCATAAACAGTCGAAAATTAACTTGTAAAAATTAGCTATGATTTACATATAATTACTCACAGTACAATCGGAACAGCTGTAAGAAACTTGCGCGTTGCTGTAAACTGTTCACCATCATCAATTTGTTCCCAATGAGTTAAACGACGTGCACCATCATTTTCAATGCTTAACCAAGGTGCTCCCTTTATTAAGTGCAAAAAGTATAAATGTGCCTGTAATGTGATAATAAAAGTGAAAATTGTTTGGTGAACTTGTAGTTAAGGTAAATTATTATTAATTCTAAATACATACCGCATTGTGCAGCAGGTTTGTAATAGTCCAAGCCATTGGAATGCTAATAAATGGAACCGACAATAGAATTAAGTGTACTGTCAGCACACCTAAGCCATAGGCCAACCACATCCCACGCGCACCCAACCATGTAGCATTGGGGTTTGGCTCACCATGACCACCAGCAATTGCCGTCATACTTGAATCTTGAAAAATTTAAACAATTATTTGACTTTTGCGTGTTGTATTTAAGAAACTCGTAAACTTTCGTCTTGACTAATTTGTAATCAGATAACAGCTGGGTTTAAGGCATTGTATAAATCTACAAGTAGCCAATCCTAAGATTTTCACTAAACACACGCAAAAATATCCCACTTGGTACGGGTTGCCTCGAAAATTCTACTACTAAAATCACACTTGGTACGGGTTGCCAACCAATATTCTGCTACTAAAATCACACTTTGTACGGGTTGCCAACCAATATTCTACTACTAAAACGATCAAATGACAGAAATCTGCTCTAGTGTGTTGCCGTGTTATGTTTTAAAATTAATACCTTAAAGAATGTTTTTATTCCATATTAAAATATTTTTCGGTTGTTTTAATTCCAAAAGATTAAATTTACATAGTATTATTTAAATTATTATTTATTGTATTGAAATATTATTAAATGTTTCAAATTTTATCTTTTTTAACTTACATGTTTATGTTTTTGTGAGTGAAAATTCTTTGTCTGTTGAATATTTAAATTCTTAGTTTACCGGTGTAGTCCTGGGGAAACAAACACCCAAAAAAGGTCTGTAACGCGTCATATTACAACCTCAGAGGTGGTGAGGAAAAGCAATGGGAAAACTTTTAGCTTAGCATCCTACGATTTCAGGGTTAAGAGGGGTATGGTTGATAGAGAGATCTCCAGATCACGAATATATATACTATTGGCGCCACAAACGTATAGTTTTCCAGATATTTCCATTTTATGCAATTGTTACACTACAACCTTATTTAAAACTCTATGTCAAAAGGCATATTCGATCAGATGTAGATCACGCTGTTTCACACATAGGAAAACAGCTGATTCTTTGGCTACTTGTAGGTTTACAATGCTTAAATGTTGAACGCTCTGAACACTTAAGACAGAGCAGAGAACGTAAAATCAGAGAACTCAAACAGCTATTATTGTTTACTTGTTTCCAAATATTCATATAAGTCCATATGTGAATATTCTTGAAATTGCTTTCATTCGCAGGTCCAAAGATATATGTACACAGGCGTACATATGTATGTCCTCAATATGTTCGCAAAAATCAAACATTCGCGCAAGTGACAAAACGGGAATCAATAATAATATTCAAGCAAACTCACGGCTTATTTTCTAAGTATTTCAAATTACAACGACAACAAATTCATTCATAAGGAATGTGCGTCTGTTTACAAAGTGCGCTCGTTAATAACCTGCGCCGCGCTATTTTTCTGTGCGCCTGGTAACCACATTTGGTTTCATATAGAATTCCTACCGCAAATGCGCGAAATTAAATGAAGGAAATTAACTTAAATGTCTTCAGTATAATTGATGAATCAGCAAAATTTAAATTTTAATTTGTATCATTGAAAATCTACCATCCCCTCGCGTTTTATGTTGCTTACAAGCTGCTTCCTCACAACATTTGCTAAAAATCAGAAATTGAAGAATTTGTCTGATGTTCACTTCCAGAAAGGAGAATTGGCAACATGACCCTTTAGATTTAATTATTATTTTAATTTTTATATTATGCACCATTTATGGCATTAATTACAAATTATATAAAATTATTCATATGAAATCATTAACTACTTATATATTCTAAGCACAGTCCATATAGTACTTTATATAATATATTTATCATTATTTCAGGTTTGTCGATTTAGCCCATTTATCCAAATACGACGCTACATGAAAATGCAGCCCAATCGGTAATCGCAATATTTCAAAAGAGCATAAGTCAATTTTCAAGATAAAGCCCTGCAAAGGACAAACGAGACAACATACTGATCGACATTGTCGTAAATTATTGATTGAAACAAATTTGTCAACTCCGCCACGATGCGCAAAATCATGTCAATATGTATGCGAGCTCATGCGTATGTATGTATGTTTGTCGACAAAGTCGTCATTTGGTTTTTCAACAACACACGTCTGCCCGAACTGCCGTTATTTCGTTGGCTTGCCACACACACAGAGGCGTTCTAACTTAGGACCCTTAGTATAATATTATGTTGCTTAATTTGAATTGAAACACTGGATGCATTTATGAATTATTTTCGTAATATAATATTTATTATGGCATATATATACCACACATATATTCATACTTAAAATCGTTTTAACCAAATTGATATATAAATATNNNTCTGAAATAATTATGTGGCAGTGCGCCCCAATCCCTCCTTGCCTGCGATCGTTCAACTCGCAAAAAGCAAAAAGTGTAGACAAAAGTCATTGCTTGTGCGGGGCAAGAAGAAGCAAGCATCAGCGTACGTGTACTTATGAATGTATGTGTGATTATCACATTTTTGTAAATACGCATAATAAGGAAATATTGAATAAATCTAAACATATGAACATATTTTCCTGAAATATTTTAATTATCTCTGAAAGTAAAATATGCTAAATAAGTTATTGAATTGAGATATGCTAATTAATTCCAATTAATAAAATAAAAAAATTAAATAAAATTTTAATTTTATGTATGTTAGCAATCGAACTTATATGCTCGTATTCGGATTGAGCTTAACTCAACTTATCATTTGTTTGATAAGTATATTGCTTACGCAACGCCAGAAATGTAAAAATTCATCAACATTCTCTGATATCAATAAATATGATTGCATATAAGTACGCTTATAAAAATATAAGCCAAAAGAGTAACATGCGGCTGTAATATCTATGCAAACTTCTGAGCATAATTTTTATTCAATGCTCAGCTCTGTTCACTCGCCACTGTTAAAATTTCTTCTTCCGAGCCGACTGTGGTGAAACACTCTCATCGCATTTTGTTAGGTTTTGACAATTCACACGCTGGTCCGTAGTTGGACCTTCTCTGTATTTTACGTTCTCTGCAAACACTTACGTTCGAATCCGGTAAATCATAAATCTTATTTTTTATTTATGGTATGTATGTACATTTTGCTTGGTTCCTTTAAAGAGTGGTGTAGTTCGTTGCGTTCCCTTATAGGGTGGTGAAATTTCATTTTCGAACTTGAGCTTTTTCGATGTTCTATCATAATAACAGAGAATGTTAATAAATAGAAAGTGCATTATTTATTAACATTCTCTGCCTTCTCTGTTCGATAACATTCTCTGATATAAATTATTTCGCAAAAAGCTTTTTTAAAATGCATAGCTCATGAATTATAGTAAAAAATATTAATATGTTTGCAGTAAATGTCCACTTTTCGATTTAACAACAAATAACATATGGAATTTATACAAATAGCCCAAAGTTAAATCAAAGATGGTGATAACATTCTCTGGTTAAATCGCTTAATTTCTTGAAATATAAAAATTATTAGCAGTTATAGTTAAAAAGAAAAAGGGCAAAACAAACGTCACAGACATATGTACATATGTACATGCATAGGCATTTGTGATTATTTATGAAATATATCATAAACAAATTTACAAATATATTAAACAAAAACAAATTTTCGTTTACAAAAAATACCATACTTATATTATATTAAGATCTAATGTTTACGGTAAGTCCTAAAACTTCTACACCTATTGGATATTAACGGTTGGCGTAAAACGTTTTTCATAGCTAAACTATTACATTTACGATTTAAAAACCTGTAATTCGGCGACACCGAATTGTTTATAATTAATTTTTACTTGTGAAACGGACTATTTACAATTACATTATTATTGTAGTTATATCGTTTATGAAACATTAGGAATTACCTACACACACAAGATTATATTATGCATAGATTTTATATATCTAAAAAATGTTGTTTGTAGTTTCATTCCTTTATTAGTTTAGGTCACCAATTTCCCTTTCTTACAATGTCTAGATAATTTTTTGCTTTCATTTGAGTATGACACTGTTAATATTGATGCACACTTTTGGTACAGTTTGCCTACATACGACATTTCCTTCTCTATTTTTCATAAACCGTCTTACTCCACTACCATTTATTTCGAAGTTTTCCAGTGAGTCACTTTCAGAATTGTTGTATTTTAGAATTACGACTATACATATGTACTATGTGCAGGTATATACATTTATATCTCATACTACTTTAGATCTGCACTTATTTACAGTGATTTCGTATATAATGTGAATACATACACATATATTTGCATATATATAATAACATATGTATTTGTACGCAAATGTATAATCTGAAATATACTAGTACTCTTAGAGAAAGTTTATGTGTAAGCATGTGCATTTCTGTATGGTATATGCAACTTCATCAGCATACATATATGAAACATTAATTAAAAAATAGCAAAATAAAGCTAAAACAAACTACGAGTCTTTTTGAAATATTGTAAAGGTTTTAAAATAATTTATTAACGGCATAACTACTATTTCTATACAAAGTAATTCGCTTCAATTTATGTAGTCATACCGCTCCTCTGAACAAAAAGTTAACCTGACTGTTTACCAAGTGAACGACCTAGGTTTTGCAGCGAACTTGGGCGCAAGCTCGTTGGGGTTGAAATAATTTTGGTATGCTTGCCGCCTCAACTCAGCAAGTGATTCAAAACTAAATGAAAAAGCTACAAAATAACGAGTAGTATTCATTATTAATTAATAATTATATCTAAAATATTTTTATTTTTTATGGGGTCATAAAACCGTTTTGCGTCACTCCTGATATTTAATATCTGCCATATTGTACAGCTTTAATATAAAAAATATACATTGCATGTTGAGTTTGGGGAATTTTTCTTTCAGGTGTACAAATAAATTTGGAGACTTTGGCACAGGTAGTTCGGTACTATGTAGGATTGGTCTGTTGGCCGAAAAAAAGTTTGAATACTGGATATTATGGCAGAAATGAATATGTAGCTGCACGTGATTGAAACAAAATTATTATATATTGTTTATTAAACTCACCAACATAAAAATAAATTATCACAAAGTTCGTGTGACAAAAACAGTGTTTAACAGTTTTATTCTCCCTTAATAATTGTTAAATAAAATGTACGTACATCTTTTTTGTTACTACACGTATTTAGTTTTTAAATTTTCTAAACATAAATACTAAATATTTTAAATATAAAAGGTTACAATATAAATAATATGCAAGTTGAAATTGTAACATGTTGATTTCCAATATGTCCATGTACTTTTTACTACCAAACATAAGTGTCGAAATGCATTTTCTTTTATGTATGTATGTCTAGAAAGTACCCACAAAGAATTTGAGTAGACGTTGAAATGGCAACGACCATGAACGGTGCAAAATATACCACTACGTTAACGAAAGGTATGCAATAGCATATATGTATGTATACATACCATCGCATTTACATCTATAGTTATATAATATACACACATACATATGTACAGAGTGCACATATAATATGATATAAGTATGTACTTCTGTAGATATAATTATAATGCTTTCAACCGGTCTGGCCATTGTTCGAGAGTGGAGTAAATATGTATACATATGTACACATCCAACTTCAATTCATATAGGAAAAATAGAAATGCGGCAGCAAGGCAATATTGCAATGCCACTGCCAATGTCACGAACATGAAAAAGCTGGAGGGTGGCAGCCACAGACGGGTAGAATGAAAGTAGGTAAGGTTGAGCATGTGCAAATGTATAACTTAAGTCAAGCAGAACGTGTTTTCATACCGCTGTAGCATGCAGTCTGGGTGCCCTTCCTGCTATAGTACTCGCCCTTACAACGACAGACGGCGAAGTTTCAATGTGTATAGTGATTAAGACTATATTGTAGAATCACAAAAATATAAGAGTACACGTATGCACACATAAGTATATACATAGTATATATATTTTGCAATATGAGGACGTTAGCCTTGGTGCTGTATACAACTCTGCAATACGCATAAGTATGTGCTTGTATGTACAATATATTTACATATTATATATAGGACGTAAGGCTTATTTTGTTTTAGTTAGCTCTGTTCAAATTCTGACACATGCGTACTGTTATTCTAACGGAGAATAATATGGAAATCTCGTTAGATTATTTAATAAAACGAATGACTTAAAAAAGTCGTCTGTTTATTCTTACCTAAAATTTGTCGCAGAAGGCTGCAAAACCCTTGGGTTTTGTGTAAATCCTTTAGAACATAAACATGTATTATATCTTAAACAAAAACTGGAATAGAAAATGTATTATTATTATTCATCATCACATTTAGAAATTTAATATATACGATGAAAAGAAAGAAGAAATTAAGACCTTTGAAGAATCACTCATTATTTATTTCACACTGGGTAATTCATGAAAATAATTTCCTAGTAAAGCATACATGAGAATCTAGTTATATTAATATGAATATGTTTAAAAATGTAAAGATTTTTATTCCAATGAATAATAAATATGTATATACACAGATATGTACATACCATATATAATACAATGCTTATGAACAAATATGTTACCCAAAAAGATTTTACAGAAACCATATCAATACATCCAGACATATTAATACAAACATGTATATGTATGTATATACATGTATATAAATAGTACGGTGGCCCATCAACAAGAAATGTGACGATGACAACGACAACAACGCGGTGAAGGTCATTGATACCAAAAATTATGACTCCCTTTGCCCTACTCCACATCAATATAGGCGTTGAGACGCTGCAGTAAAATGTGTGGCGAGTAATCCTAGTGGTATACTAAACGCTTACACAACCCAATTACGAATGCAGTCGTATTTTGTAGAGAGACATATATTTGTATGTAGGTGTATGTGCATATACGGGGTATAAACTCGAACGTCACTCGAGTATTTAATAACGAAGCGTCACAACAACTGGGACGTGAGGAGAGCCATTCTACTAGAAGAGAGAATGCTTATGTATGCATACGTATATATCTACATACAAGCTCATTTTACTATTATGGAAAGTGAACTACAATTTCAACTGCAAGTGTATAAAGTGTTCGGCATTTGTGACAACCCAGAACCGGGTTTCATCTTTACTTCTGACATTAACGGAAATATTAGCTACGGTTCAGGAGCCATAGGACAATATAATGGTATATTAATAGAATAGTTGTGTGAAGGTATTAATTGTTAGATTAATATAGATTTATGTATAATAAATACTTATATTCCACCATAGAGATATAAAACTACAAAATTTATTTAAAGAAGAGTAGTAACATTCTATGATCGTTATTTAAATTATACTTGTAAATAATTGATTTGATTGTTATTTAATTATAGTTCTAAGTTAATGAACAAAATACGTGAAACTTATGTATGCACTTGTCTTTTCGTGCTGTATTTTTAACATTACACATAATTTTATTTTTCTATGTGTACATTGGTGGTTGAGAACTAGGATTGCCAACATCATCTTGCTTATATATCATTATTGAATTTTATAGAAAAGATAATAATAAATTATTAAATAAGAACACCTTAATTGTAACTGCGGATTTATGGTTTGTAATTGAAATAAAAGTAATACTCACTTTTTTATGTCTTATGCGTAGATGTTGTGATTGTGTTAAGGCAAACATAGCTCATTTCATTATTTTATAATATTAATTGTTATCATCCATAATAACCGTCGGACGGACAAAATTGCATCCCTTTTTAAATGTCTTGTGCTGAACATTGTGTAAATATAGAAATTTTCTAGTAAACAAACCTTTGTAGATGTCCATGATCCTATTTAAAAAAAAAAAATGGAAACCCTAAAACACATGCAATAACATCCCTTACTGCACAAAAGGGAATACTTTTTAGGAAAAGCGAAGATGGTCTATATATACATACATGTGTATGTATATATATATATATGTATACGCATATATGCTCATATACTGTTTTACAATGCTCAATGTTATAGGGCTGGCGTTGTTCATTGAACTTGCCTCCCATTTTAATACATATCTAACCCTGTATATATGGGTGTATGCCCTCATACTTGCGTGATCCCTGTGTCTGGACGAATTCGTTGACTTCTCTTAGCTGCGTTTTGTGTGGTGCTTTCACACAAACATTCAGGTCTCTATATGGATACGTTTTTTTGTCGTAAATGCAGTTCCGTAAATGTTTGTGAGCGCGTTCAACTCGGGCTGGTATTCATCCACCTCTATCTACTTTGTCTGCTCCCACTCTACTTTGTGCTAAATTGCCTGAGCGTCCCGACCTACCCACACTCTTTGCAACTTAAACCAATATGCCGGCGTTGTTCTGAGTTTCATTGCCCGCTGCGCTGCTTGAACACCCATTTGTTTACTCACTTGTTTGTATGACAGGCGCCTGACGGTTGGTGCAGATTTGTACATTGTACATGAGTTGATTCAATGGTTTTAGAGTTCTGACGCTACTTGCAAGGTTAGTCGCAAAAGCGACATCAAGTCGTTCATATGTGGTAGTAGCTTATTAATTTACATGTCAGATATTTTCGATACTTTAGTGATTTAAATATACAAAATGTACATAAATAGTGTTGTTCTTCTGAAGTTTAAATAAAATAAGTAAACAGAAAAATTTTTGGTGAAGAGTAAAGTGTTGTAAAAACAAAGATATTTAACAAAATTTTAAACAAATCATAGTGCTTTCTTTTACTTCGAGTAGTTTTTGTTTTAATAAATAAACTGCAATATTTATACGGCATACCCTCCTTTAATGTTTGTAAAGAAATACTACAAGATACTATAATAAATAATAAGCGGTACTTTGAATTTCATTAGCGATCGTTAAGTCTCCTATTGTTATTTACATGTTTGTATACATATTATATGTATATACCATATGTACATAAGTACTTATGTCTACGTTTGTATGTCTTTGTCTGATGGTATGTATGTATGTAGATACGATATACATATTTAACATATGTTAAGCATTGGTAAAATAGTCAAGTGTTCATACATTTTTGTAAAATTAAAAAAAAATATAGCTTTTGATTTTAATATTATCTTAAAGTGGAACAATTCATACTTATTTTTCAATTATTCCATCCAGAGTTTTATTTGACTTAATTCTGATTCGTTATATGAATTATCCCGAATTAGCAGTGTGGGTCAGGATGATTTACTAATATTAACTAGATAAGTATGTAGGTAGGTAAGTAACGCGGCTGTCTACCGACGCACATAGGGCGTTAGAAGGCCCACTATGATAGCACCAGGACTAAAGTCCCCTCATTCTATTGTCTCTTCTCTGAACCACCCGTGCTTCTAATGAAGTACGAAAAGTTTTATTTGTGCAACGTCGAGACGATATATTAACTATATAATTTAATGTAAAAATTACATTCTAACTTGCAGTCAGAATAACTTGTACACAAATTTTAGTTTAAATATTTATGGAATTTTTGGGCTTATGAACAGGCTTATCCATTAGCATAAAGCTTTTCATAGTGCATACATCAAGTTTCAAGAGTTAAAATTTCAATATAGTTTCATATAGTGTGTGCCCAAGTTCCTTAATGTACGTAGTAACAATATTCTTAAATATGTATCTTATAAATGTGGTGGCTGTCGAAAACTTCGATATCATTATTGTTAGAGAGCATGACAGGAGCGCATTTACTCTCCTAATGCTTAACTAACCCTCATATGCAACGGATCAATGTTAAGGTCAGTGGGTAGATGTACTCGTTTCTTCATGGGCATCGCCTGATGCAGTTCATTAGAAGCCTTCGCATAATTCGCGCATGGACACATGTCAGTGTATTCTACATACATACATATATAAGTATTACATACACTGGATAAATTAAAATATACAGTATACAATTTAAAAGCATACATGAAGTTACTAGCTCAGTTCTATCATTTCTATTGGTCTTATACAATAATTTAGTATTTATGTACATACTTTGCATATGGCTGTAAAATTAATTTCATAATTAAATCTTTGTTTGTTTCTGTATAATAGAGGAAAACTCACATTTTAAAGATTTTTAAAAGACTGCATTCTACAACATCACTGAGTACCTTCATACACATAATTAGTACTTAAATGTATATTATAATGCGTGTTAGGCGTAAGAAATGTATTAATACTTGGATAAAATAGTCTTAGTATGTTTGAAAATATATATTGCAAATATAGCAATCCGAATATTTGATTACCATTTGTTATAGTTGGAATGGTAATTGGAAAAAATATTACCTTTTGAACATGAGACCAATATTATTACTATGTATATTATATTCCTTCCCTACTTTTTATATATTCATTTATTTATATTTAAATGCTGTATAAAAAATAGGCATTTTGGTATTGACCTAACGTTAAAACAATGAATATTGTACACAATTTTCGATTCCGACCAGAGGAAATTTGTCCTGACTTTTTATATTGTATTTACATTTGTACATATACTTTGACGCGGTATACATTTGCCTGCTGAAATCGATGAGAACAAGTAGTATCTGAGAGCAAAAATTAGATGCGAATGTATATTTCGCTCTCACATGAGATTCACGAATATTTCAGAGTGAATGCACTTGTTTGATATACATATTTACTTGTAGGAAAACATATAACACTACATATGTATATACAATACAACATGTTGTGCGCAAAGCAAATTATTTGTTACTTGTGGTAGTGAACTTGAATTTGTGTTATTGAGTAAAAAAACAACAATGCTACTTTTAGCTATAGGTATGAGTTTGTATGTATGTGGATATTAAATACAACAATAATGAGTACTGCCGCTATACTTCCTGTTCTGGGTTATTTGTTCTTTTATATACTAAACTAGCATCAACTCTTCGGTTCTCTTGATTTTCTCTTCTCGCTCATATTTGCGTAAGATTATCTCAGGGTTTCACTTTCGTTGTACAATAGGAAAGTAAAGTCTTCAGGGAGCGCGATAGGGTTGTATAAGAAATGTCGATTTTGTCACCGAAATATCTCTTTTCTGTGTTGATTTTGCAGCTCCAGTTCTCCAATTTTGTAAAGTGAGATTGCATTGTAGGTTCTCTTTATTTTATTGCTTTTTATTCTCATAGACACATGCCTACTTTTGCATGGACATTGCGAAATTCATTGGTTCAATCTCTGCCATTTATGTCTGTATGTATTAGCAACTATTTTAAGTTCCGAGAACTGAGAACAATGCTGATTTACCACATCGACTGCAGACACACGTATCTACATACCATACATTAACATACATGAAATACAACTATGATGACGATACTGAGACCAGCAGTAAGTCAGTAAGAGAAAGTACGGCAACAGCTTTGGTTGATTTAATTGCTTAAATAATTTCGGTTGTATACGAATAAACCAATGCGATTGGATCAAATAAAATGAGTAAAAAATGTGATAAATTAATTGTGTATTCCAAAAGTTTGGTTATTCTAATTCAAATACATTCGAAAAAAGTAAATACAATATGCATATGTGAAAGAATTATGTAAAAAAACAGTGAAAATCAAATTCTTGTAAAAAAAATCTCATTGAAATAAATTCTTGAAAAAGTGTAAGGAATAATAAAATTATTACAAATATAAAATAAAAAAAAAATAACGGACTGAGAGAATTTGTATGGGCCAAGCACGACCTTGTCCTTGGCGGTATTCAGCTATAGCTGCCATTCAATGCCAGTTTTCCTCCTAACTCATACATTTGCGAAAGACTAGTAATGTCAGTGTCAAGCGAATTTTCTGTCTCTCATGGTCAAACCGGCGTCGCTGCGGCACTATTGCTGTGATTCGGTTATCTGTTAAGCACACATACAGCTGTTTTGAGATATTTTCACATACTTTACCGAAAGTTACATGGATTTTGTAAACAATGAAAAATTTTGCATATATTTCAACATTCAAGTTTTATTAATATAAATAAATAATTTTTTTATCAAAATCAGAAATAAACAAAATATGATATGAGCTTCTATGTCTATTGTGATGTTTCTTTTAAGAGAAAATACCAGCAAAATTCCTTGGTAAATAAAAATAATTTCTGACAACTGTCATGTGAGTAAATTGTTTCATAATTGTCATAACATTTTTGTAGAAGCGGAAATCGCTCAAAGAAATGTTTAAATAAATAACAGCTTTTTCTTTCTCTTTATTCCATAAATTAATTGCCTAACATTTTAAAATAAAAGCAGCTGTAAATAATAATGTAACTTTTTAATAGAATTTACGCTGCCTGATTTTAGAAGCAAAGAAGAATGCATGGGCAATTTGACAACCAACATTAGTGAATATTGCTTTGTTAGTTGGCATAAGTTATGGGAAAACTTTAGTATAACGTCCCACGCTTTCGGGGATAAAATGGGTATGGGCGGATAGAGGAGATCCTCCAGATCAAGAATATATACAGATATAGCCGCGGGAAACTTAGAGTTTTCGAGATATTTGGGTTTAAAGTTCAAAATTTCGACTATTTAAAGTACGCATTTTTCCCATTTCGAATGAGTTATACACTTATATTTTCCACTTTTATATCCACTAACACTTCACTAATTCGTTTGTACACATTTATTTAACATTATATAGTGCAAAAATAGTTTAATTCAATAATTAAATTATTGTTAAATTCTATTAATTCTGACACTAACAAAAGGGTTGCAAAATTTCAAATAACCAGTGTTACCTTATCGACATCTTTTGTAATTGAACTGAAAGAAATTAAAACAGATAATACCCCAAATACAGGTATCCAAAACCTAGAGAAATAAACTATTACAAAGCATTGATGTTAAGTATTATGTTATACCCTCTATGACAATATTACTTTTTTCTTGTAGAACTTCTTTTTGCTTTGGCGGCCTTCGGCCGCGCTTCAAAAAAATAACCCTGGTCGGTCCAACACCGGGGTGTATCAAGGTTTTTTTGCGCAGAACTCCTTTTTGGGTTGGCGGCCTCCGGCCGCGCTTCAAAAAAATAACCCTGGTCGGTCCAACACCGGGGTGTATCAAGGTTTTTTTGCGCAGAACTCCTTTTTGCGTTGGCGGCCTTCGGCCGCTCTTCAAAAAAATAACCCTGGTCGATCCAACACCGGGGTGTACCAAAGTTTTTACGCGCAGAAATTCTTTTTGCGTTGTTTCGTGTATCTAGGATACAATCTCTCTGTTTATTTTATTTTTCTTCGTTTGCAAAATATATTAGTATGGCAATACTGATGTTTTGACATTCACAACCATTTTGTTATTGTCAAAATTAATAAAATTAAAGAATGATTTAAATATTGAAATAAAGCTATTTTTGCAGCATCTAATATAAAAAAAATTTCTAAAAACGAATTAGTCAAGTGTTAGTGGATATAAAAGTGAAAAATATAAGTGTATAATTCATTTTAAATCGCAAAAATACGTACTTTAAATAGTTGAAGTTTTCAACTTTAAACGTAAATATCTCGAAAACTATAAGTTTCCCGCGGCTATATCTATATATATTCTTGATCACCGCCCATACCCATTTTATCCCCGAAAGCTTGGGACGTTATTCTAAAGCCGACCCTAAATTATTGTTACTTATTTCACACGTTTACGTAAAAATTATCTTTACTCTTTTCAATCTCTCTATTTATTAACCAAAATTAAATTGAAATTGATTAAAATTCTGTCCAAAAGGTAGTTGAAAAAAATTTGTACTGACCACCATCGTAATCATGCCTTTTAATGGTTTATGGTATATCCATTACAAAAAACGATACGTGGTATAACTTTAAGAATTCTATTTAAATTCGTACATGCATATGTATGTACATATGTATATGAAATATATTATCATTCAAAGGTCTTATTAATTTCAATAGTGAATAAAAACCAAAAAGTATCACATAACTACTGTAAACTATTATTTTCTCATGGAAAATGAAAAAGTATACATATACTTTATTCAAAACACGTGCTACGTCTGCTGTTATTAAAAAATTAGTAAGTGTACTATATAATATCTAGTAACTCAGGATCTATAAAAAGTGTTTTTCGAAAATATTGAAACTGACAGCCTACTTCATATTTAAAATATGTAGAGGTAATAAATTACCCTAATACCGAAAAAATATAGCAAATAAATGAAATATTAAAATATACATGAATATAAATATTACTGTGTAAAGAAAAATATCTTTCATGTGCTGCTAAGTTTAAATTGACTACCAAAACTGGAGTTCAGAATAATGCCTTTATATTTGTGAGTATTGATAAAAACTATTTAAATACAATGTATGCCTATTTATTTATTTTTTTTTGCAATCTTGTTATTGGATAGTAGTCAATTTTATTATATCTATATTTACACCACATTTACTATGTCGTTGGTTATATAAGATAATTATTAATAAAGTGTGCTTAGTTAAAAAACAAAATTTAATGATAGACTAGTAGTATTTATTCGAAGTGAGTACTATTTTATACAATCTTAGACTAAATATATCTAGTGTGGAAAACTTATAAAATCAAAACAAAATATATAATATATACATACATAAATATATTTCTTTACTAATGCAGTCTATAACTTCAATAATTTTCAGATGTAACCGCTTTACCAAACATCTAATCAGAAGGGTATCAACGAAATCATCTACAGTTTTTAAAATATTGTGAACAAAACGATAAGAATACTACATTCTTTGTGATCTAAGGAAGGATTTATACGAACAGTATATACATATTTATATGACAAAATTGTCTAATGGATATATTGTGGATAAAGCCAATGGGGATAAATTTAAGTTTTCAACGTAATTTAAGGGAAAGTGAAAATAGAAATATAATTTTATTGAAACTAGAAGGCTGAAATTTTAGGATTCTTTGTATACAAAGGCAGATCACGATAATATGAAGTGAAATCTTTACGAACGTGGTATATAGGACACAGTCAACACAACCAAATAAAGCTGAATACATGAGACTGACTATAACATTAAGTTTTGAAAATAGTCTAAGTAGTGTCTAAGACGGTTAAAGCTAAAATATATAAAAAAAAAACGAATAGTGTTTAAAGAAAAACAATAGAGGCCAAGCCAATATTTTACCATATTCTCTGCCTGGGATTTTATTTGCATAATCTCTTTATATGCATTGAAATATCCTGCGTTTTCGTAATAAAATTACAACATACACAATGCTTAAGAGATTTAAATATATTGACGCAACTGCTGGACTAGTTAACGCGAATAATCAAGCATCAACAGAAACTGGGTCCTCTTCTGATAAAAGCATTTCAGCTAAGAGTAATTTTTCATATATAAAATTGATAAAAGCAGAGCCTCTTGATTTAGAAATGGCATATGTGGAATCAAACGATTCAAAAGAATGTCGTTTCGAAAATATATCCCAAACTAATTTAATGAAAAAATCAAAAGTAAATGAAACTGTACTGAAGCCCTCAATAGCACCTTCAGTGAATTACCAACATGTGCAGATACAAACTGTCCAACCAAGGCAACCGGGAGTAAATTTACTTAATAATACTAATGCTATGCAAAAAGTTACATTGGCCCCACGTTTGGAGGTGGTTAATAGATCTACGTCTAACGATGGGGGAAGTGATATTGGAAATATCATAAGGCAAGCTTATTCCCAACAGCATATTTCCAGAGACCAATCTCAGCCTTCACATTCTTTTCTTACAAGTGCGCGGATAGAACAACGAGTCTTACAACGCCAACAATCGGATTCCATAGCTAGTCCGCAAATTATAATTTCTCGACAACCATTAAATGTTATGTCTAATACTCCTATACAGCGTCGTCATTCTGCAAGCCCTTCCCATTGTGAAGGAAGTTCCTCTTTTGCCAGTTTAAGTAATAATTCGGATTGTATATCTTCTTCTCCACCTCCATCTCTACGGACTTTACAACAATATTCATCAAATCGTTCGCCGCAACCATCACCACCACCGTTGTCCTTACAACATCATGTACGGGTTATACGAGATGGTCGGTTATATGAAGAAGTTGCCTCAAGACCAGTTCACTCTTCTCGACAATCCGATTCTCCCCCTCCGTTGTTACACCATCACCAGTCTCGTTCTGCTCCCGTTTCTCCAGTTGTACCTCGTCGATATTCTATTTCACCACAAGATACACCGACATCATCTGTATTTCAACAACAAACTATTGAAAAGCATCAAGGACATACACAAGTCGTCGTTAATAATAACAAACACGAAATGCATATATCGGATCCTTTAGGACACTATCAAAGAAAGAAAATTATCTCTCCACCTCTTCCATCTTCCACATCTCTTCATACATCGGTTATTGCAACGGATCCATCATCAACCCAAGTTTTGATCGAAAGTCCTCCTACAACACTAAGTAATTCGCAATCGCACCGGTATGCACTTTCATCATCAACACGAAAATATATCGTTACCACTCATACACCGCAATCGAGCTCAATACCAACAAGCATTCTACGACAACAACATGTTAAATTTGTTCAACACAAGCACCAAATTCCCCAATATCAAGAAGATGGAAATACTTCGTTACAATTGACAGCTGCCACATCTTCTTCAACATCAACGGCGACTCAAAATTTTCGTTTACCTGTTGTTACTAGTAGCAGTAGATGCACAGTTGGAAACAACGACCAACAATTCCATAGCCACACTAACACTGCCATGCGTCCGCCTCCACCACCACCTCCAAAGATCAAAAACACATGCTCTTCTATCACTTTACCCACTAGCAACAATGGGGGAACTTCCACTAGCGAGGAGCCATCCAGCTCAATTCCAGATTTAGGTAAGTTTAAGGACACACATATGAATATTCTTATTTTAACTTTATATTTGAAGAACTTACAAATTTTATAGAGCGATAAGTCATTTACCGAGTTATTACTATTTGTTTTTATAAATTCACCCAAATTTTGTTATTGTGATATAATTATTATTTTTAGGAAACTTGTAGAGATAGTAAAAAAGTATTGGCTTGTGTTTGAAAAACAACAAGATTATCTTTAGCTAGAACATATGTTAAATACTAAACTTGTTGACCCTGGTGTGATAAAATAATTGTTGTAAGATCTAATAGTATGTATGTCAGCTATATGCGATAGTGGTCCGAATTGTTCGGACATTATTACAATGCCTTGGCCAATAATCCACGCCAAATTTCTAAACAAATTAAAAAAGTTGTACATACAAGAACTTGCTTTTGATCGTTCAATCTGTATGGCAACTATATTCTATGGTGGTCCGATCCGAACAATTCGTTCGAAGATTGTTACGTTGCATTGGCAAAAAATCCATGCCAAATTTAGGGAAGATATAAAATATATCGATATGCCAATTAAAAAAGCTTTCAATACAAGAACGTGATTTTGATGGTAAGATTTGAAAAATTTGTTGGATAATTGTAGCGCTGCCTTGGCCAATAATCTATACACAATTTCGTGAAGATATATTATCAAGTGAAAAAGTTTTCCATACATGCATTTGATTTTGATCGTAGGTTAATATATATTTATATTAAAATCAATCTAACTAACAAAAATCTCTATATTCATTATATTAGTGCTGTATGAAAGTGCATATCGATGTCCCTAATTTGTATTTTTGAATGACATATTACTAATTAATATATTTTCGCTTAATTTAATTGAGACATCTTCTATTGAAATATGATACATATAAACTCAACCAAAGGAACGAAATATAAAATATTGGGTATATGATGGAAAAAGAGGAGACGCGGATACCGATATACTTGCATTAGGGTTAGGGCTTAGTCCAAATTAGATTTTTAGAAACAATTTCAAACCACAAATTTCTTTCCATACTTCGATGCATAGTACCACATTACAGTTTAGCACTTTATAGGTTTTCGCTTAATGATAATTTACGGGCGTGGCAATCGTCCGATTCGACATCTGTACATATTTGCACTGGTATAGAAAGATGAAAGGCTTTTATATTTGCGAGATATCTTTAGTGCGGTTATCGCCGGATTTAGATATCCTTTATTTGTATTCTCTATTTACCGATCGGATTATTTATACTCGACGTGGAGCTTTGCTTATAATGTGACTATTTAATAAATTCGTCAGCCATTTTTTCTGAAGTATGGTTTGTCTGGAATTGGGCTTCATTATTTTGTTAAAATTATATGTATTATAATAAATGGGCAGAGGAGTTTGATAAATTTTATGCTCAAAAAAATTAAGTAAAAAATATCAGTTACATGTGTATGTTCATTATAAATAAAACAAGCTTGTATCATGCGTATGTATTATGTACAAATGTACAATGGCCATCTACGATATTTTAAAAATTCAATGTCAATGTCATACTACCACAAGCAAATATTTAGTCAAAAAACACACGTGCGCCCACACAAAGAAAGCGAAGAGCAAAGTAGTCACGATTCTCTTTAATTTTCTCTCATTCTGCAAACGTTTGCCACATGAAAGTAACAAAGTATTCATTTGCATATACAAAAGCATGTATATTCAAAAAAGCCTTGTATATAATATATATATATATATATATATAAATGTAAATAAAAACAATACAGAGAGAATATGATACGTATGTATTTACTTTATTAAATTGAGCAAACAATTAAAAATCAGAACGAAAAGAGCAAGCAGTAAAAGTGCGCATGTCTGATAAAATATTTCCCTTCTAGAAGCACGGAAGTTCATGAAGGTGAATGTAGACTTTAGATATTTCAGAGTTGAGAACGGGTTTTCCTCTCAATTTTGTCTTGAAGTTCTCGTTCTCGTTCATGTTTATATACATATATATGATATATATTTTTGCACACAATTCGAATAAACAGGTTTATTAAGAGCACTGTGAGAAATTTATTTTTCTAAGAATTTTGGCGAGAAATATAGTAACAAGTTTTGATTGCAACTTACATGTGTCTTTTCCTCAAAACACTTGAAACATTTTTTTATTTGTCAACAATTTCAAAACCCATTGATAGCGTTTGCTTAATTAATCAGGGATTTCAAATTTAAATTTGCTGAGTATATCAATTTCTATATGACTATACCAATTTCTTTGCAAATTATCTATTGATATCGGATTATTAAATGTATTATAAGTACGTGTTTTATATGTACTTTTTTAAGATTGTAAAATGTGAACAACGTAGGAAATTTATATTATGTTAATTCAATTAAACTTTATTTGAAAAATTTACTAATGTCTTTACTATCGTGAATATTATTATGTACCTTTTCGAAAACAATCATAGACATGCATACAGTCTGTAATAATCTGTAATACTACTGCAAGTTTATAGCTACTTTAACAGTATTGCAGTTACAGTCCACAAATATACATTACACAACCATATAAGTGGAAAACTGCATCATGACCATGCTATTAAAAGCACACAAATTTATAAATATATACTGAGTGCACTAGAAAAGCTCTTATCTTCGAGGGCTTTCAAAATTAAAATCTGCTGCTAGAATAATAGCATAATGGCATATTAATTAATAATCATAATACATTTATCAATATGTATTTTAACTTCTAGAATTTTAGAATATGTGTAGAAAATATTCATGTAGCACCATGTTTATAATTTCTTTTACAACATTATTACAAAATTAGTTTAACTAACTATTTAGTTTAGTAGCACATTGCACCTTATGGTGGCTTAAGCGTGGCCGCCTGTGTACTGGTGCTACTGTGCTTCCCTTTTCAACCAACTAACCCACTATTTTGTATTGTTATTTCTTAAAGGCTATAGTATTAAGAAACAACACAAAATCTTCAAAATGCACTCTGGATTAATATACCATTTTAACAAAGAATAATTTGCCATTACATCTGTTAAAAAATCTTAATTTTGTAAAAAAGTAAATGGACCTTTCTATTCTCGAAATTTTCAACATATTCCTCATTTATTAGTTTCTTGTCATTACTCAGAAAACTAGTTTCTTCTATTTGAAAATAATTAGAGTAGGAAATAGCGAAGCTTGGTAGTAAAAGCTTTGTGTTAGTATTTGACAGGTGAACGACCGCCGATAACGTGTGGCCTTCGAAAATTATCTGGGCCAAGTGGAATTTTATATAAACGATACATAGAATACTTTTCTTTTGCTCTCTATTAATCGTGTTAATATTCTTCCTCATACATTTGTTATTGTACTACACATACGTCCTTAATATACTCCCTCGACATGTTGTGAAAAGTAAGATAGATATTATATATGTCTTTCAAAATAATGTTTTAAAATACATAAGGTGCCCCAACTGTGTAACTAAATTCATTATAAGACTTTGCGGAGAATAGGTGATTGAATTATATGACAAGCTTACATGTAGATCGATTTAAAATAATATATTTGGCTAATGTTATATAAATGCAATAATCTTCTTTCTGTAAAAATTATCTAAGTTTTGTATTAATGGATGTATTTTGTACATACAGATTTTATTCGCATTTTTTAATACGAAGAATATATAGTATTAATAAATATATACCGATTAGAATTAATTTCTCAAATATAAAGTCATTCTACTACTACCACGTGTTTAAGTAATTTTTATAAATATTTTATTTCTATATGATTGTATTTTACATCCAAATTTACTGTCAATATGTTTTAAATACATTAAAACGTGTTGTTATGAAGTAAGACATGTAAAAGAAATTAATAAAAATTGGAAATGGGTTGTTGATCAAGTCAAGTGAAGTGATCTGTATAATAAAAAAAAGAAATGATTTCATAGCTAAAAAAAAATTGAGAATAATATATTCCTGAACCGAAAGTTAAGTGAAAAATCATAATAAAAGAAGACTTACCCGAAGTATAATATAATTTTTTTGAGTTAGTTAAATTTTATTGTCAATTAAAAAAAAATATATCCAACGTTCACTAAATATATTATATATCTACATTTGTGCTTTTCGTTGATTTCGTTAACACAAATCAAGCTTAATGGTAAAAGCTTTTAAGCTTTTCGTATAACAACATAACGAATAAGACAACAACTTGCAAGTACTCATTTGTCAATGCTATTTCTAACATGAACTGCAGATTTTTATTCTATCAGTTTCACAGGACAGCACAACGTTGTATATTTTATCGGGCAAAATATTTTTGGAGAATAAATTTTCATAAATTTTGTGCAAGATGGTTTTATGAACTTCCCTTCTTGAGGTGTGACTATTCAAAGTGAATTAAAATAATGTATATGTACGAAGAGTAATAACATAGAAGTGCAAATGTATTGTTAATAATTTACCCACTCTTTGAACAAAGATTTGTCACAAAGTAAGACTAACTTATAAATTTTTTAAAAGTAAAACGAATGTTACGAATGCTTGCATGTACCTAAATACAAGTGAATAAATATTAATTTTTGCGTACTTAATGCCAAATAAAAAATTTTAACTCTTCCGTAAAAGTTAAGCATATTTTGCGCGAGCTATCGCTATCTAATTATCGTTTATGAACAAATACTCTTAAAGTTTCGTTTGAATAAAAACATAAAATTTTCAACCATAAAAACTTTACAAAAAAATTTAATAATAATGACTGTAACCAAAGCTACAAATGATGGAGAAGGACTGATTAAACATGCTCTAGCCGGTAAGCGAAACAAATTTTAGTATTTAGTCTTGAAACCCAGTTGAAGTTGAGAGAGAACTTTTTGAATTGATTAGTTTTCTTACGGCATTTCGAGAGCAAATACACATAATTACATTGTAACTTCCTTCGACAAGGTGTATGTATGTGTGTGTTTGTTTATACCTTCTTGGCGGATAATTTTTCT